GAATAGATGGTCTTTATCTCAATCTGATAAAAGTCATCTATGACAAACCAATAGACCCTGTCATACTAAATGGACAAAAACTGAAAATTTTCACTGTAAAATCAGAAATGAGACAAGGATGTCCACTATCACTATTCATATTCAGCATAGTTCTGGAAACAGTGAGAGCAATTAGACAAAAATAAGGAATAAGGATAGCAAAGGAGAAGTTAAACTGTCATTATGTGTAGATGACATGATATTCTACATAGAAGACCCCCAAAAAGTCTACAAAAGACTTGTAGATTGGGTCACCCAATTCAATAGCATAGCTGGTTAAAAAGCATTCAAAAACCAATAACATTCCTGTATACAAACAACAAACGCACTGAGCAAGAAATTAAGGAAACAACACCCTTTACAATAACACTGAAAAAGTAAAATACTTAGGAATTAATGTAACAAAAAAGGTAAAAGATCTATACATTGAAAGTTACAGAACTCTGAAAATGGACATCAAGGAGGATATCAGAAAATTGAAAGATTAATCTTGCTCATAGGAAAAATCAACATAGTGAAAATGGCCATATTCTCAAAATTGTTATATAGATTTAATACAGTCTCAATCAAAATACCATTAGCATGCCTCACAGAACTAGAAAAAATTTTCCTAATATTCATGTGGAACCAGAAGAAACCTAGGATAGCAAAAGCAGTCCTTGTCAATAATCCCTGGTATGAAATTAAACTACAAAAGCTACTGTGGTAAAATAACATGGTACTGGGGGGAAAACAGATCTAAGAATCAATGGAACAGACTAAAAGACTCAGAAACAACTCCAAACACACTCAGCCACCTTATCTTTGGCAAAGGACAAAACTGTCACTAGAAGAAAGACAGCCTCTCTCATAAATGCACTGGAAAGAATGACTTTCCACATGCCAAATACTAAATATATATTCATGTATCTCATCATACAGTAAACTGAAATAAAATGAATCAAAGATTTAAATATTAAAACAGAAACACTAAATCTATTGGAAGAAAGAATAGGTAGACCGCTTGAAGATACTGGTATAAGCAAAAATTTCGTGAACAAAACCCCCTTGAAGTGGGAAATAACACAAAGAGCAACTGGGATCTCATCCTGCTAAAATCTTTGGAACAGAAAAATAAATTATCAATAGAATGAAAGGACAACACACGGAGTGGGAAAATTTTTAGCCTGTTGTCTCTCAGGCAAGCAACTAATATTTTGAGCATATAAAAAACTGAAAAAGATCAGACCTCTCCAGATGCTAGTAAGGCTGTAGGGGAAAAAGAATCTCCACTGTTGGAGGGGAATCAGTATGCAGATCCCTCTAAAAAATGAAACCAGAGGTCTCTTTGACCTAGTTATTCCCCTTGTTGATATCTTCTCAAAGTAGTTCTCAATGTAGTATCATACCACAGTGATATATGAATACCTGTGTTTTATAGCAACACAATTTCTAAAACTAACTCTTGGAAACAGCCCAAATGCCCATTAGTGAATGAACTGATAAATAAAATGTGATTTTTATGTACATTATCATAAGAAAGGATAAACCTGAAACATATTTAGGTAAGTGGATACACCTCGAGGCCATACTTTTAAGAGAAATAAATTAGAAATATGTGTTTAAATATCACATTGTTTCTCTAGTGTAAGAAATTGAAAGTGTAAATAAGGACCAAAATGGATGATAGATACTGTGATCATGGTATCTCCCCTGCCAGGTAAGTATAATGATATATATTGTTAAATAGGAAGAAAATGGGAAGGGGAACAAAGTGGGCCGAGGGAGAAGGGAAAAATAAAAAAAGAAAATAGAAGAAAAAAATGGAAACAAAGCTTTGTAAATATGAAGGGGAAGAAGGGTTGAAAGAACAAGAGGGAAATGGAGAAAAAAAGAATCAAGATATATTGTGTATAGGTACAAATTTCCTATGATGAATGTGATCATTATGTGTATCAAAAGTGTACCAATGAAATTAATTGCAAAAAGTTAAGAATATCTTTACAGAAGCATGCATAATAACATTGCTTGTATATAGAGAAACTGTGGCCTAGCCAAGATAATACAAATGTAACCATCAGAGTCATTGAGTTGGAGTCATCATGCATGGAACATTTTCAGTAGAATACTTTATAGTTCCGTCCATGTCTTTTCATAACTTGATAGCTCATTTCTTTTTACTAGATAGTATTACTCCATTGTATGAATGTATCACAGTTTATCCACTCATTGAGTTTTGCTGCATACATCTTTTGCCTACTAGTATTTTATTTTCTGTCTTTCTCCTTTTTTTATTGTTTCCTTTGTCTAAAGGAGTATCTATCTATCTATCTATCTATCTATCTATCTGACTCTCTATACCATGTGGGTTAGCTTTTTGTCAGTTATATATGTTAAAAGTACCTTTTATTACTGTCTTGGTTTTTATTTTCTTAATATAGTTTAATAAAATAATTATTAATTTTATCAATCTTTTTCTTTCTGAGTGCTTTTTAAAAAAATTATTTAATCCATAGTGTATTTGTTTTACTTTAAAAATTTTCACTGTTTTACATTAAAGTTTTAGACTACTTATACCTCCTAAAGAATGAATAAAGATATATTGTCCTATAATATTCCTATGCATATATCATGTTCTTAATTAAAATAGTTAATAAACCAAATTTTAAAACCAAATGTGAAATATACGTCTATGTTCCTGCTTGCTACCAAGAAAGAACAAACTAAAGAGTAAAATTATCCTGCAGCACTAAACATGATGTTTGACAACACACACACACACATACACACACACACACACACACACACACACACACACACACACACACTCTGCCACCTGTCTATGAGGAACCTGCCCATTGACATCACAAGGAGGACTTCAAGCTGCCCTTCAAGCACAGCAGACAGCCTAGCGAAGTCTTCATCACCTGGGACTGTGGTTTCAGCTTCATCCAGCTGGAATCCAGAATACTGGCTGAAACTGCAAAAGCAGAACTGGATGGCACCATTTTGAAGAGCAGACTTCTGTGAATTTGCTTTGCTATACACGGAGTGGCTCTGTCAAGAACCGTTCTCCAGTATTTCCAATGAGCTTGTCGAGCAAGCATTTCCTTAGTTTGGCCCAGTAGAGAAAGTTGTGGTTGTGAATGATCGAGGTAGAGCTAAGGGAAAAGGTGTTGTAGAATTTACAGCAAAACTTCCTGCACAAAAGGCTCAGGAGAGATATGGTAAAGGGGTGTTCTGAATATATTTTCGAATGGTATTATTCATAAAGATCAATAACAGTACTTCTGTTACTTTCTTTTATAAAATGTAAGCTTGGAAAAAGTTATACACTGCTTTGTCATTTACCAGCAACAACAACTCCTCATCCAGTCATTGTGGGGTCTACAGAACAGTTTGATGATGAAGATGGCTTGCCAGAGAAGCTAATGTGGAAAACTCAGCAATATCATAAGGAAAGAGAACAGAAATACATAAATATGTAGTTATGTGTGTTTAGAAATATTTAAACTGTTAACTGAGTATCAGAAGAAATACAGTATATTAAATAAATTGGTTTAAGAAAACATAACAGTTAACAAACACACTATGATCTAAGGAAAAGACTGTAGACTTTACATTCTTGCAATTATAACAGAGAAGCTAGAGACACATTCAGAGTGCAACCTAGTGGATCAGAGTACTCAGCTAAGCAAAACCATCCATCACTTTTTGCTGTCTTTGATATAAGACACATACTTTTCATGTAATATTGTAGTGAATAAAAACCATACGAAAATGAATAAATAGTAAAGCAGTAGTAATTAGATCCAAGACCTCTACTTTGGAGGCGGAATTGTGGCAAATTTTAAGGTAAGATTTAGTAGAATATAAAATGTAAAATAGTGAAGAGAAACTCAAATAATTTAATAGACATATTAAACAGTTCAAAACTGGCTTGAGAATGATTGACATTCTTTATCATTCTGGCATATTATTATAAATATTCATCACCTCGCCTTCCCTACTTGAAGCATTTTCAACATGAGAAGAACCCCTTCAAAAGCAAAGTATGGGAGCCCGCTTGTTTCTTATCACTTGGCCATATAAGGAACCCTCAATTAAAAATTGTTCCCTAAACTTAACTAGCATTTTTCCAATTGTTAAGGGCTATAGAACTCAGAAATTTATAGAAATGGCTGGCAAGCCTTTGAAATAGTATTTGTTTCCTTAAAAAAACAAGATTAAACAATTCCAGTGGCAATGGTATAGCAAAAAGATCTGGTCTTTGAGGTCTATTGGATCTATATTTAGATCAAAGCTCTGTCATTCACTAAAGGGGAATATCTTGAGCAAGTTATTTAACTTCTCTGAGCTTTAATTTCATGTGTTAAATAGCAGAGGATTGTTATTTTAATCAGTTGAATACTTGATGGAAATTCAATACCAATCTGAAGCTGACAGTGTAATTTCATTGCTCATGATACGTATTATCATTTAACTCCAAAATGTGCCTAATCAAGTAGGCCATCAGCAGACAGCTGACAAAATTAAATGTACTCTATTGTCCCAAATTTCAGTTAAAAAATAAATATGAAAAAAAGAATAAATTCTGTGGTTAAACAGTCATATCTGTTAACTAGAGCAAAAAAAATTATATATACATAAAAATATATATTATATATATTTGAATATAATGTATATTATATTCACATATAGGTAAGATGGAAAATTTCAGACAATTCACTTGCAGTGGTTGACTATAATGAAAACCTTTCTTTCTGTTTGACATTTAAATGTTTTCATCTTTTACCTTAAAAGAGATACAAGGTAAATTACAAAGCAATGCTGATAAATGACAAAGCACTGTATAACTTTTTCTAAGCTTACATTTTATAAAAGAAAATAACAGAAGTACTGTTATTGTTATTTATAAATAATACCATTAGAAAATATATTCAGAAAAAAAAATCATTTATATTTGTCTTTCTTGCTTGCAGTTCACCAGGACATGATTACAGCTTTTCAAACTTATCTAAAATCAAAGATAATATATACATCAACATTTTTGATGAAGTGACCATTGAAAAACATGAGGTAATGTATGAATAATCAATGTTGAAATAATTCTAAGAAGATTAAGCTGAGTGAAATTTAGTAGCATATTAGTAAATTTATTTTAAATGTAATATTTCTACCCAAAGCTTTCAAAAAAGAATTTGAGGCAAATTATAGCAAAATTGACATATGACAACTCATTTAAAAAATAATATAGATCATAAACTTCATGTAAGAGGAGGAAAGATTAAATATTCCAGAACTTGAAAGTAATAGGATTTTTACAGTTGAACATTACCTATAAATATGAGCTTCCCAGTAATGAAGACAGAAACAAAAATAGGTTGAATGTTTCTTGTCTGAATAAATAAAATACACCACTTCTATAAAGACTGAGTTACTTCCAGAACTAAAATTTAGTCTATTTGATGTTGTCCCTAAAATGGCTGAATGTCTTCCTCTTACAATGTGAAAGTTTCTAACACAATGCCGACTACTATAGTAAGCACTGAAAGTTGGCACTAAAAATATGAATATCCATTGTGCCTACTTTTTTGAGATAAGTAACTATAGGTAAATGTAGTGTTCTCTAAAATAGAGCCAATGAAATGTATGTAAGAGGGAATTTATTAGATTGGCTTACAGAGTCAGAGGCTAAACAACTCTGCAATGGCTGTCTTCAGGCCAGGGAACCAGGAAAAGCAGTAACTTCTCAGCCAAGACTCGTGACACGAGAGAGCAGTGATACAGCTCCTGTTCAATAAGACACAACCTGTTAGGACTGATGGAGGCAAAAGAACAAAAGCTTGATGGGACTTCAAAACAAGATGATACTAAATCAGCACTAGCAATTATGATGTCTTGTTTTCTCCAAAATAGCTGTTCCTACCATCCAACCTTCTCTGCCTCATTTCTGTTGAGTTCTTTTTCTGTCGTTTGTTGTCAGTTTGTCTTCTTCATTTCGCCTTCTGCTCTATTCATTGTGGCCTCTCTGCCACTTTTTCTGGAATCTTGGTATTTTCCTTTTTTAGAATATCCTGCAGTATTCTCTGTAGAGTTGAATTGGTGGTTGCAAATTCCCCTAGTTCCTCTTTATCCTGGAAGCACCTTGTTTTTCCATCAATTTCTAGGGATAGTTATGCAGGATATATTAATCTTGGCTAGATGTTATTGTCTTTCAAAGCTTGAATTATTTCCCCTCATGCTCTTTGTGATGTGATGGTTTGTGCTGAGAAATCTGCTGTAATTCTGATGGGTGTTCCCTTGTAAGTGATCTGTTCCTTGTCTCTGACGGCTTTTACTATTCTGTTCTTACATTGGATTTCTGGAATTTTGATTTTTATATTCTTGGATGTAGCTCTTTTTGGGTTGTAGGTGGCTGGGGTCCTGTATGCCTCATACATCTGAGTATCTTTACCTTTTGCTAAATTAGGGAAATTCTCCTGGATTATTTCTGTGAATAGCTTTTGTAATTCATTTGTTTGTGTCTCTACTTCTTCTGTGTTCTTAATTCTTAAGTTATAGATCCTCTTATCATCTTCTAGCCTTTGTATTATTGCTGTTTGTTTTCTTGTTATTTTAAAGAAGTTTTTCATTTCATGCTCCCACATTACAAATCTGCCCTCCAGTTCAGACAATCTATCCTTAGTTTCTTTCAAGCTGTTATGCCAGCTTTCAACAGTTTTTAGTTTCCTGATAATCTCTTTGAACTTGCTTCACGTATTCTATGTTTTTTCTATTTTCTCCATCAAACAATTCTCCCCTTTTTTTCTGTTCTTCCATTCCACCATCTGTTTCTTCTTGGGTGGTGCTTAGCATTTCTCTAACTATTCTGCTTATATCTTGCTTTATTTCGTTAATACTTCACTTTTGAACTCGTCTATGAGGCTCCGGAAATATTGATTTATGTCTGTTGGTGCCGTGTCTGATATTGCATGTTTTCTGTCCTCATTCTCCTTTGCATTTACCTTTCCTGGATCAGTGTTCTCAGGATTGGGGACTGAAGACCCTTTCTTGTTGCTCCCTCTTCCCATACTTTTTGTTCCTTCCATATAAGCGTATATAGGAGGCCCAGTGTTTTTCTTTGTTGGTTACAGTTGTTTGAATTCCACTGGCTAGGTGGTCCCACCCACTGCAGTGTACTAGGGAGACACACCCCTGGGCAGCCTCTGCTGGGCTCGCCCCTCCAGGTCAACCTACTGAAGGCTTCACTACTAGGGTGCACCACCAGGCACTGGGACCTGTTTGAGCTAGCCTACTGGGTCTTAGTCAGCGGCATTACACAGGCCAAGCGCTCCACACCAATCCTGCTTGAGAGGGGAATATGTGACTAAAGTCACTGCAATGTCCTATTCCGGCTAGTCTGCCTGGTCCCAGAATGTCCTCTTTTGGAGCCTCCTAGTCTATGGAAGGGTCCCCGTTCCTCTCACTCACTGCAGGTCTATGGCTGTTCCTACCATCCAACCTTCTCTGCCTCATTTCTGTTGAGTTCTTTTTCTGTCATTTGTTGTTATGTAGGATATATCAATCTTGGCTGGAGGTTATTCTTTCGAAGCTTGAATTATTTCCCCCCATGCTCTTTGTGATTTGATGGTTTGTGCCGAGAAGTCTGCTGTAATTCTGATGGGTGTTCCCTTGTAAGTGATCTGTTTCTTGTCTCTGACAGCTTTTAATATTCTGTTCTTATATTGAATTTCTGGAATTTTGATTATTATATGCCTGGGTATAGCTCTGTTTGGATTGTAGGTGGCTGGGGTCCTGTATGCCTCATACATCTGAGTATCTTTACCTTTTGCTAAATTAGGGAAATTCTCCTGGATTATTTGTGTGAATAGCTTTTGTAGTTCATTTGTTTGTGTCCCTACTTCTTCTTTTATGTTCTTAATTCTTAAGTTATAGATCCTCTTATCATCTTCTAGCCTTTGTATTATTTGCTGTTTGTTTTCTTGTTATTTTTAAGAAGTTTTTCATTTCATGCTCCCACATTACAAATCTGTCCTCTGGTTCTGATAATCTATCCCTTAGTTTCTTTCAAGGTGTTATGCCAGCTTTCAACAGTTTTTAGTTTCCTGGTAATCTCTTTGAATCTGCTTCACCTATTCTATGTTTTCTCTGTTTTCTCCATCAAACAATTCTCCCCTTTTTTTCTGTTCTTTCATTCCACCATCTGTTTTTTCTTGGGCGGTGCTTAGCATTTCTCTAACTATTCTATTTATATCTTGCTTTAGGTTATTAAAAACTTCACTTTTAAACTTGTCTATGAGGCTCTGGAGATATCACTTTATGTATATTGGTGCCTTGTCTGATGTTGCATGTTTTCTGTCCTCTTTTGAATTTACCTTTCCTGGATCAGTGTTCTCAGGATTGGGGACTGAGGACCCTTTCTTGTTGCTCCCTCTTCCCATACTTTTTGTTCCTTCCATACAAGCATATGTAGGAGGCCCAGTTTTTTTTTTTCTCTTTGTCTGTTACAGTTTGTTTGAATCTGCCGGCTAGGTGTTCCCGCCCACTGCAGTGTACTAGGAGACACAGACCTGGGAAGCCTCTGCTGGGCCTGTCCCTCCAGATCAACCTAGTGAAGGCTTCACTGCTAGGGTGCACCGCCAGGCGCAGGAACCTGATTTGGGCTAGCCTACTGGATCTTAGTCCACGGCGTCACCAAGCCAAGCACTCCCCACCAATCCCGCTTGAGAGGGGAATATGCGACTAAAGTCACTGCAGGGCCCTGTTCCGGCTAGTCTGCCCATTCCCAGAATGTCCTCTGTTGGAGCCTCCTAGTCCATGAAAGGGTCCCCATTTCTCTCACTCATCACAGGTCGATGCAGGGCTCCCTGCCAGTCCTGCTCTCAACACCGTTTGGTTCACCAATTCCCACTCTCAGAGCTTTCTCGCAGCTCTCTCCCTGCTGTGCCAATTGGGACACAGCAGCAGCAGCAGGAAATTCAAATCACGGCTTCCAATGATGCGGGATCCAGCTTCTGTGCTGAGATTTTATCTGTTCCTGATATAGCATCAGGATTGCATTTCCAGTTGGTTTCTCTCAGTTTAGTTCATTCCTGGGTTGACAGGGTACATCTCCCCTCGCTTAGGACTCCTCACGTGGCACCACTCCTAGATTCTAAGCTGGTAATCTCAGAGAGCCTCCGTGGCTGCTGTTATTTGTCTGCCATGTTCTCCCGGAAGTCCCCAGTACACTGTATTTTCAAAAAGAAAATTTTTAATTTTGTTGAGGTCAGATATATCAGCTTGACTTTGTTGTCATTTTTTTAAAAAAACTTTTTACTTTGCAACTCTGCTTTTAAGTTTATATGTCTTTAGAAATGTGTTTCTTCTTGATGAATTGATTCTTCTATCATTATGAAATATCTTTATTCTTGGCTATAATTTTTCCTTTAAAATCTGCTTTTTGGTCTGGGGATATAGTTCAATGGTACAATACATGCTTAGCATGTGTGAGACCTGGGTTGAATTTGTTGAACTAAAAAATGAAAAGTAAACTACTTCTATTATAAAATACAGTCATTCTGGCTCTTTTAATTAGTTTTTTTATTAATTAGTGTTTATATGTTATGTCTCTTTCTTTTTTGTTTCTTTTCTGCTCCCAGGGCCTTTGACTGAACTATATCCCCTCCCAGCTTTTTATTGTATTGTATTGTATTGTATTGTATTGTATTGTATTGTATTGTATTGTATTTATTTTGAGACAAATTCTCACTAAGTGGCTAACTTGCCCGGGCTGGACTTGAATGTATATTCCTGCTGCTTCAGCCTCCCATAGTGCTGGGATTACACGCATGCAGCACTGTATGAGAGTTCTTTTTCTTTTAACTTTTTCCTTATATTTAAAATGGTTTTATCTTATACAGAATATGGTTGGATCTTGTTTTCGTATCCATTTTGATAATCTCTGCCTTTTAATTTTTTATTTTACAGAAAAAAACAAACTTTCAAAGCATAATAAGAGAATAACAATAGTTGATACATTGCATTAATATTGTTATTTTAAAAATAATTATTCAGAGTACAAAATATGGGCATAAAAAATTCTCCAAATGATATTAGCACAAATTTTTCTTTGTAGTATTTTTTTTGTTTTCCCGTCCTTCCTTTCCCCTTTCCTCAGCCCTAGTTCCTCTTTTTATTTTGAACCATTTCCTTACATTTCACAATGTTTATTGTATATTTTTTACCTTATTCACTCTTTCAACTTCTCATAGTAGTGAGACAATATGATGTTGACTTACATGAGTCTGATTTACATCACTTATAAGTACAATCTCGACTTTCATTCGTTTAACTACAAAAGTCTCAAGTTTATGTTTCTTTATGGCTGAGTAGTACTCCTGTATAAAAAGACCACATCTTTTTTATGCATTCCTCAATTAATAGGCATTTGGGTTGTTTCTAAGATTTGACTATTACAAATTGTGCTGACATAAACATAGGTGCATATTTATTGCTGTAGTATGATATTTTTTAATTATTTGGGAATATACCCCACAGGAGAAGAGCTGGATCAAATAAGACCTCTTTCTTAGCTTTTTAAGGAATTTCCATACTGATTTCCATAGTGGTTGCACCAGCCTACACTCCTACCTACATTGGAGAAAGTTTCCTTTTCTCCCACAGCCTCTCCAGCATTTGTTATTGGTTGATTTGATAATAGTCATTCTTTCTGGAGTGAGATGGAATTAGTGTTTTCATTTGCATCTCTCAAATGACCAATGATGTTGAATATGTTTTCATATATTTATTTTCCATTTGTATTCCTTCCTCTAAGAAGTGTATATTCATCTCAGAAGCCCAGTTTTGGATTGGGTCTTTAAATGTGGGAGATCTGATTTTTTTTTTCCAATTCCTTATATGTTCTAGATCCTTTGCCTGAGGGACAACTGGATAAAATTTTTTCTCACTCTGTGAGTTATCTTTTCACTCTGTCAGTGATTTCTTTTGTTGTGCAAAAGCTTTTTAATAAGATGAGATCCCAGCTGTTGATTCTTTGTATTATTTCTCATAGGATCTGGATTTTGTTCATGAAGTCTCTGCCTACACCTTCAAGATTAGGGTGCATAAATGAGATTTTATAACACCTCCATTTCCCTCTCCTATACTTTGTATTAATCTTCTCATACATTTACTTGTATATGTCAGAAACTACATAACAGGCCATATTTTTGCCCTACATAATTATATTTTAAAGAAATTAGAAAGCAAGAAATATGTATTTTCTAATTTTGTTTTGGTTTCTTTCAAAATGAAAGACACATTTTAAGAACCCAAAAAGAGAGGCTGGGGATTTAACTCAGTAACACAAGCACCTACCTGGCAAGAGTGAGGTCATGAGTTGGATCCCCAGTACCAAAAAAACAAAAACAAAACAATAAAAAACCCAAAAATAAGGAGAATATTTTATGCTTACCTGTGAGTTTGAGAAGGTACTCATATATTAAATAATATAAAATGTATTTTAATACATTTAATTCTAATTTATCTTACTAGGATCGCTGTCTCAAGAGCTGCAGTGGTCACGCATATCTAAGAAAGAATTGGCTTGGTTCTATTGTTTTTCCTTTCTCCGCTCTTTTGCAACAGTCTGAGGTAACAGATAATCATTCTAGATTTTGACTTCTGGCTAATAGAATCGCTTTTTGTTATCTGAATTAAATTCCATGTTTGACATGTTAGAAGTTTAATTTAAAAAGTGATTACTTATTAGAATGTTCTGGAGCCTTGCAATGTTCGAATATTTTGACTCTCTCTATAACAAGAACACTCACAAATTTCTTATATCTTTAAAGTCTTTACAGAGAAAGAATGGCTAGCCTTGCATCTTAAAACAACATTCATATTTGCATGTAACAGATTTGTTAACCAGGTTAATGAAACAATCTTATTAATGGTGCTATTTTTAATCACAAATCTTAGGAATTTCAGCTTATCATTATTGTTTAATGATAATAGTGAGCCTGATTATTAGAATTGGTCTCTGTGAGACCTTCAGAGAACCCTGATGTTGGGATATACAGTAAAAATATGCCTGCATGATCAGCAAAGCATAAGAATTACAGTCTAAACTCCATTTTAGGCCCTGTTATTTATTTATCAAGTGACCTGAGGCAAGGTACTTGACATCTCTGAGGCTGTACCAGCCACTGAAGATTTGAAGAGTCAGAAATGAATTTTCTGCCCCTGTGAGTTTACTATCTGTAAAATAAAACTACTATCTGTTACAATGTGAAATGCTTTGGTAGAAGCATGAGATACATGATGCAAGAACACACATGAGTATCAGGTTCTGTCCTAGATCCCTGATCTCCCAAACAAGTGCATGGTGGAGGTTAAATAAACAGAGACAAATTATATGGTTTTTAGGGCTCCAAGAGGGTCAAAACCCTTTAATTAAGCTCGAGGCTTTGAGGGTAAAGACAAAAGCTTCTCTGGATCAGTCCACTTATATTATGACCAAGGACAAAGGTAGAGAGACTGAGGAAAATGCAAGCAGTGAGCAGGACCTTGGGAGTCACTTCAAGGACGTCTCCAAGTCATGAATCAAGTCAATTCAGTAGCACTGTCTTATCATGAAGACATGGTAGAAGTGAGACTGTAGGAGTAATCTTTGCAGCTGTAGTCTCTACCTTGTTAATTGGGGTTGGAGCCAGAGTGTCCACAGCTGTGGCTTTGTCTTGCCCTTTGAGGCGTCTCTGGCATCACAGGCCTCTATAGGCCTCAGCCAGAACCAATGATTCATAGAGGTTCACTTACTATGAATCATCTTGTGGGAAGCCGCCTATGAATGGCGCCCATTTCCTGCTTCCGGGTTCTTCCCGGCCTGAACAAGCCCGCCAAATTGTCATATCTGCCCAGTTACCCGTGACGCTAGCCTATCAGCTTGTTAGGCGCGCTTCTCTGTGATTGGATACTGCTTCCCCTTATAAGAGGTTGTTCCTGCCCCCAACGGGCGGAAGAGGAACCAACACAGAGGGTGGCGGACCTTGTCAGGTCCGGTTCGCTGTACGCAATAAAGTTTGAGAGCTGATCCTGCTCGAGTTTGGTCTCCTGTCTCCCGCGGCTCCGGTCATCATCTCCCATTGCCAGGCAAGGGGCCGAGACCTAGGACAAACTCACAGATAAACACAGAAAGCCAATTAGTAAAATTTAAATCCTGCTCAGAGCCACTTTGCAGTGGTCTCCAACACATAGGTGCACTTTACTTTTCTGGACTAAAAGGAAATTGAGAAAACTCAGAAAGTTTGGTGGTAGACAAGAGATGAGGAGCAAAATGCAGGGCAGGGAGGACTTTTCCTGAGGAGATAACTTTTGAATCAAACCATGAGATGAATTTTTCAAGCAAATGAAGACATATGAGTGAGAAAATATTGTGTGTACTAGTTCATATGCAACAGAAAGCTTAACTAGCCATGGCTGATGTAGGTAAAAAGTTTGTCTGTCTCAGGTGCCAGTGCAGCAGTTGCAGGACGTCATCAACAATCCAAGGCGCTTGTGTCTTTACATCGCACTGTCCTTACATGTGACTTTCATTCTCATAATTGTAAAATGCTTGCTGCAATTCCAGCTTCGTATCTGTGTTATAGTATGGATGAACAAAGACCAGCAGCATTTAAAACTGAAAAACAGACAGCTCCTCAGAAAACTCCAACAGACTTCTGGGCATCCCAGCTACTCAAGAAGCTGAGGCAAGAAGTTCAAGCCCAGTTTGGGCAATTTAGCAAGACTAAAACATAGCAGTCTCAAGACAAAACCTAGAAAATATTGGAAATGTAGCTCAACGCAAGGCCGTAGATTTCATACCCAGTCAAAAAAAGAAAGAATTTTCAGCATACTTCTTGCATCTTACTAATGTGACATGACCACTATCCCGCTAAACCTGTTGGTAGAAGAGGAAAGAGTGGATATTAGGTAGGAAAGAAAAGTAGAAGTTACTGTATGTTGTACAGTAACATGAAGTCGTGATGGATCACACTGCAATAAAAAGCCATAGGAATCTACGATGTTGGAGGTGTGTTGCTTCCTATACCTGTGAGTCCCTGTAGGGGGTTCTCAGTCTCTGCTCAGACTGAGAAAGGGCTAACAATGTGGGTTTCAAAGGGAGATGAATCTGCATTGTGATCCTGGCTCCACTACTCATTGGTTCTTTGATCTTGCACAAATTGCTTCAGCCCTCTGAGCCACAGTTTTCTTATGTATGAAACAGAGGTAAAGGTAATATTATTTCATTGAATGGTACAATCTCTGTCGGGCACTTACCACAGTGCTTTGCACATAGTAAGTGCACAATTGGCCATTAGTTGTTATTATTGGTTATGACTGTAATGTACCTCCTACTTCTACTCACACATGATACATTCTTTCAGATTAATGGAACATTTCAAGTAAATATCCCACCAATTTTGCTTGGATATACTTGGAGTAAGACTTATTTATCTCCTAAAGAAGATTACAATGGACAGAATTTAAGAGAATGTACCTTCATAAATATTTTTGCTACCATTGAACCACAAATATCATATGTTACCTATAATTCAAAATTTGACCAGGTAGGTTTTGTACTGAATTACTTTTAGATATATCATCAAAGAATGTAAACTATTTTAAAAATCAGTGATAATAATTTTAAATCTGGTAAAAATAGATATTAATTTTTGATCTTTTTGTGGGAATAATATGGTACAATATTGAAATATTTTAAATTTGATTCTAGTTTTCAGATCAAATAGATATTTTGCAGAGAGCACAGATTTTTAAAAATAATTGTAAAGCAATGTTTCCCAACCGAAGAATCATAACTACTGTTTTTAATGATGAAGGGATACAAATCTTAGTAACAAGATATATCAAGGCATTAAATCCACCTCAACAGCTTCTAGATACATTTCTTCATGATTCTAATGCAACACTTGTAAGTTACAATTATTTTTAACAAGTTTATTGTGACTGGTGGTCCTCTAAAAAGAATCACTATATCTTTTATTTATGTAGAGTCAATCTCTTCAGGTGGCTGTCCTTAGACTATTTATATTATTTTTGAGTTACAAAGTTCCTTTAGCTAGACTCTTTAAGGTAAAATCAAAAGTCCTGATTTATATTGCCTCTTTCACACTCTTCTTTTCAGTTGTGAGTTTCTTCTTGCCTTTGTGTCCTGACCTCAATGTCCAGGAGATAATAGTGTTCTCAGACTTATTTGAAAGACTGTCTTTAAAATAATAATCCTACAAAATGAAATAAAATAAAATAATAAATCCTAGCTCCATCCTTGTCAATGATTGTGAGCCATATATATTAATTGCAAGAAATCACTACTGTACTATATCATGAAAGCCAGGCATGGTGGTACACACCTATAAATCCAGTGCCTACGAGGCTGAGGCAGGAGGATTTCCATTAGTTTGAGATCATCCTGAGCTATGTAGTTCAAGACCATCCTGAACTATGTAGTGAGATTCTGCCTCAAAAATAAAAATCATGCAGAAATGGCAGTTATTGTGCATTAAGTCATCAGCGAACTTTAATGCTAACTTTATTGTTTATTTGTGTCCTTTTCTCCTTTCTTACCTTAGTCTAAGCCCTTGTCTCCAGCACATTAGTGGGAATTTCCCCCATAGAACTTCCATTGCTTTAGAAATGGCAGAATGTGCCACCATCTCTAAATGAAGCAGCTAGTAATGAGCGAATGTTAAGAGAAAGAATTGACAGTTTTTAAACCAAAAGGCAAATCAAACTTTTACTATTCTTCAACATATTTAAATTATTTTGTAGTAGACATACTTTAAAGTACATTTTTACTGTTGATAAAAATTTCTATAATATTTAAAATCAATAATTTATTGCGGAAAATATAATGGCTAAGCAAAGCTAGTTTGGGCTCAGCCCTTACAGACCCCACATATTCCATTAGCCATGTGACCATGGACAAGTTATTTTACTGCTCTAAACTTACTGTTTCTTCGGTAAAATGAGAATAATAACAGGTCTACTTTATAGGCTTGTAGTCTATGCTAGATGGATGATAATTGTAAAGTACTCTGGTGATGTAATACTGTGTGCACTCAATGAATGTTGGCATTACCGTAGGGCCTCGTTGCTCGATTTGTGTCTCTGATTCCTTTTATGTCTGATACACTGGATGATAGTGATGGTTCTGACATATGGATGACATCAGAGGTAAGAAGTTATAACTTATAGTTAAGATGGATTCCTTACTTGCTTTTTTCTCTAAAAAATATTATGTAGAGTATAATACTTTGCCCTGTAAGATTTAAAAGTATTTGATAATTGTACAAATCTGTTTCCATTTTATAAAAATCTATGGGACAAATTCATGAAGAACAAAAACCTTTCCAACATTCTAAATAGTAGCTCATGAATATTTTGATTGAATGGAAAGTTCAGGAGTCCAACATTATGACATTTTACAGACAGAAATGATCAGATCTGACCCCATCATTTCCCAAAAGCTTCCCTCAATGTTCCCCACCTAAATGTAGAACTTTATAGTGCTGCTCTTCTTTAGCAACTGGATTAAAGTTACTTTTAGTTGCCATTTCAAATATAAGTCCTGTGCAAATTGGGGACATTGTCATACTAAAGATATGTTTGGCATTTATATGAAATTCAATTTAATTGGACATCCTTTTTTCCCCCTAAATTTGGCCTTCACTTCTTTCCTTTCACTTTGTATTTGGTTGCTTGTGTATTGACCCTGCACCCACAATCTGCACACACACAGTTGTAAACTCTATCAAGGTAAGAGACTTTGTTCTTATTTATTCTTCTATTAATAACGTGTACTGTTTTAAATTTGTCAGGCATTTAATAACTTTCTAATTGGAAAACAGAAATATGACGCTTTCAAAGGGACACTTTCATTTGAAATTTATTGTCCTGACACTTACCTAGTATTTTAGAGCCTGAGTTAGAGCTAACATTTTTGGAATTTTTTTCAACAGAAGCCAGAAATCCAGAGTTTCATATGAAAATTTCCATTTTTAAAAGAACAATGCTAGAGGCCAAACAAAATACACTTGTCAATGAAAATTAGGTCGTAGATCATCAGTCTGCCATTTCTGTTGCCTTTTTGCTCTCCTGCTATACAACTTTACTAGACACTCTATGTTTGATCTCCTGCACCCAACACAGTGCCTTGGCTCTTTCAGTTGAAAGTTTCAGTCATTCTTCCCGAACTTGGGGCTCTTCCTCTCTTTGAGTTGAATATTGTGTTGGTATAGGTACAGGACAAAATACTGTCGTTCTGTTACCCAATAAGGATCACTTCCTCCCAGAATACTAAACTACTCCTTCTCAAATGAGATTCCTCAGAATACCAGTCCCTATGTCCCTACTTATCCACAGTAGTTTAAGATTTGCTCTCGATAAAAACATTACAATTGGTATAAATTATCTGATCCCTCTATACTGTATTCATGTTAAGTGTCCCATAACAAAGGCAACCCCAGTTTTTCAAATCAGTGTTCTCTTCTATTGTTGAATAAAGCTAGACCTTTCCGCTTTGAAGTCATTTTAGCAACTGGTAAAAATAAATATGTTTAGAAGGAATGGAAGAGCTATAAATTTTGGGATGCTTGCATTATGCAACTTCTTTTTTTTTCCTTTCTTTTTTTCTCCTTGATGTTCTTGTTGCTTTTGTTCTGCCTTAGCATTGCATCAGTTTGGCTATCGGAAATAAGGAAGAGCATGCCATACTTCTCTGTAATTTCTTTTTGTATTTTGGAAAGAAGGCATTGGTCCTCCTGGGAACCTCATTATTAGAAGTAAGTTTTGGAATTGTACATGCAACACTAAATCAGATTTCAAATGCAAGTTTAAAAACTTCAACCCCACATTTCCATTTTTTTATAAGCTAATTTAAGAATTTTATGGTCAATGAATAATTAGGATGATATTGACCCACCAAAATTACTGCAATTCTAGGGAAAATTTCCTTCTTGTTTTTCCCTTTGTAAAATAGCACTAAAAATTGTGCTACTTCATCGGGTCTATTAAACTACCTAGTGCATAGAAGATACAGAGAACAGCACCTGTTTGTAGCAAATATACAAATATGTAGTGTGTGAGGAGAGTGGTTCTGTAGCATTAGTTACAGTATGATTCTGGTGGCTCTTATCCTTCTCATGACCAAGATTATTCTTGGGTCTTCAATACTGTATTTTAAGATTTTCAACAAAAATTTCTTCTCAAACTCCATCTCCTGACTTTAATTTTACAAGAATAGCCGAGAAATTAATATCTCCTTAACTGAAATTTTTACAACGGTACACACTGTATGTTTTCCTAAATTCATACTTCAGAAAGCTGTCCTTTTGGATTTTTAGTTCCACTATGAATATCTTGCTCAGTGTCCATGTTCTAGTCTTGCCTGATGATTTTTTTCATGATAATTTACTTTCCTGCATTCCTTTAACAAATTTATCTCTATGTTAACTTTGTTAATTAATTCTCATGGTTAATCCTTGGTTATAACCCTCTGCTGTAATTTTAAGTGTCACTAGGTGGCAATAAACGGTCAACAGTGTTTCAACAGGTACAGTATATGCATTTGCATCTCTAGTCCCATTCTGTGGGAATCGCCTTGCAGGGAATAACCTCAGCTGTGTGGTTGAAGTGCAGCCTCCCCCACACTAGACAGAAGATGAACACAGTGATAGAGAGCAAGAGCTTTGGAGTTAAAGAGGCCAAAGCTCCACAGGGTTGTGTTAAGAATATGAATTTGGGACACAGGCAAGAGTTTAAAATCTAGCAATGTCACTTACTATCTATATGATCTCAGTTGTGTTTGTTTCTCTGAGCCTAGGTTATCTCCTCACAGAATTGTAATAACGCCACTTTCCATTACCCTAGATGAAACCCTTAACCTCTGATTCTTTATATGAAAGGTGGGCATAATAATCATCTCCACCTCACTGAACTGAGAGTGAATTAAAGTAAAAAAAAAATCAGCATAATTCTTTATCATGGTACCTGATACACATAGATAATAAATGTTAAATACTCATATTTTGATATATTTATTCTTTGCTAAGAAAATCTTACATTGAAAAGGTATGTGCAGGGCAAAGTTCTGACATGACTGCTTTTTAATCGTAGACTGGTTTCCTGTGTACTTTCTCTTTAGCCTGTAACTCCAAATCTTGTTTTCAAATTTAATTTAGTGGCTATTTCTATTAATAACATCTTTAATGGCTATGTCAGAACCTAAAGCCCTGACTTTTCATCCCTTGAGTCTGGTATTACCCTCAGTCTTCAAGTGTAATCTAACTAAAGTGCAACCAGTTTCTGTAATACTTTTGTGTGAACTAGACACATTAGTAGTATCTGTTGGAAAAGTCATCCTAATATATTAATTTTGTTAGAGTAATATATTGTATTAGCATCAGGGCTCACCCACAGCATTCTCTCATTTAAATCCTCTTACTAACTGGAGTCTGTGGATTTTGGGAGCTTTAGGGTTCCCCCTCATTTTAAAAAAATTTTAAAATCCATTTTTTTTTCTTTTTTCTTTTTATCGGTACCGGGGATCGAACTCATGATTGCCTGCTTCCAAGGCAGGTGCTTATGCCGCTGAGCTAAACCTCTAGCCCCTAAAATCCATTTTTAAAAAATTATTTTAGGAATGAGAATCAATATATTATAATTTCCACATACAGCAGTTAGTAAAACCACCAACAATGATTTTAAATATTTTTCCTTTTAGGGGCACATTGCCTATGTATTAACTGAAGAAACTAAAGAATATTTGCTTTGGAACCCATCAACTGGACAGTGTCATAAGCAGTTTGATCCATTTTGTCCCTTACAAAGTGTGGATTGTTTGTTTGATGATAAGAATGTAAGTATTATTTTTATTTATCTCCTCAAGAGTCTCCTACCTATATGTGAATCACCTGGCATCCTTGAAGACAGGCATTCAGTGAGAATTCATGGGGCACACAGGTTAGGCAATCTTTAGCCTTAAAGCTTTCCCAGCCTAATGAGGTAGTCCTATGATCACAAAATACTGGCATCTCTATCTCATGCCTCAGAAATCCTCTTGTCTTCTACCAATTTGTTGAGTAGTAAAACTGTAAATGTTTACTATGTCTTACTAACTACTGGCCTTGTGTTTCTATAGGCCTACATTGGTTTTCTGTTAATGTTTTAATAGGTCTGGTTTAATATTCAACAAAATAACACACCAATGGCTGTATGTTTTGACTATTCAAAGGAAAGTTTCTGGAAACAGTTGCTTCCAAAAAATTTTCAGGGAACAAAAATACAAAGCATACAGGTAAATTATGTTTTTCCAAGTGGGTCTGTATGAAAGTAGCCATTATTTCTAGTGACAACTCCTGTTATGTTTTATGATTAATTGCTTTTTGAATTATTTAACAATGTTAATAAAAAGTAGTTTTCTCTATCATTTGATCTTTGGGTTACTTTGACCCTGTCTTCTAAATGCAAAAAAAAAAAAAAAAAAAAAAAAAAAAGAAAAAAGGAAGAAATGGAGAAAAAGATTTTGTCTCAAATGTGAATTTTTTTTTTTTTATCGGTACCGGGGATCAAACTCACAACTGCCTGCTTGTAAGGCAGGCGCTTATGCCGCTGACCTAAACCCCCAGCCCCTCAGATATGAATTTAAACTTTAGGGGGCTGGGGATTTAGCTCAGCGGCATAAGCGCCTGCCTTGCAAGCAGGCAGTCGTGAGTTCGATCCCTGGTACCGATAAAAAAGGAAAAAGACAAAAAAAAAAAAATTAGCTTAAACTTTAGCATATCAGGGCCCCAAACTGTGGTAGTTATCTTATGAACTGGAAATAGGACAGAAACACTGGCAATGAGTAGGACTGACCCAAAGGTGTTAATAAGGTCTGAAAATGTTTCAGGAAAATCAAAGACTCACTTTTTGAAGCCAGGGATTATGATAGGGCTTCCCTATTCCCCTGGTTTTGAAAGCAATAAACTTGCTGTCTGATCCAAGCTGTAGTTGACTTGGCTGATGGAATCTGTGATGTACTCATATCACTTTGGGAAGGCATTCCAAATATCATTTCCACAGATGTTTCTGGATTGAGGGCCATGGAATGGCAGGGTAAAGATAAGTATGAAGTCCACAAATTAGGCACTGTAAGCTCAGAAAGACAGGAATAGAAAGAGAAAAGGGAGGAAAGACAAAACAAATTGTAGAAAAATAGTTCAAAGACAATCCACAGAAGCAGTAACTCAAATTTTCAATTTTTAAAAAAATAGAATACTATGGCAAGTGCATAAAATTGACCAAAAAAGTGTTATCATACCAATATTGGCAAAGAAGAAGATAAATAATAGTATATAAACTGCTGTACTTTGGAAAGCAATGTGATGATATTGTGAAGATGAATAATCTTTGATCCATTCATTCAAACTTCTAAGTATCTTCTGTAGATGAGGAACACACAGAAATGAAGTATAGTATTCACTGCAGAATGCAATGAAATATGAAGACAGAGGAAACCATTAATAGTGAAGTCACTACATGTGCTGTGAAATAATACAATGGGAGATAAATTTATAGTAATTCTCAGTTTGACTGTACACTCATTACACCAGAATCTCTGAAGGTGAAAGGTACATATCAGTAGCTTTTAAAACCTTTTTGAGTAATTTTAGTGTGCAATTAAGGTCGGGAACCACTGACCTAGAGCATATCAGCATGAACATAAAAAATCTGATGTTAAGCAAAATAAATAATATACAAAATGATTCCTAGTGTACATAGAGTATAAAACCATTTACATGAAGTTTGAAAAGTATGTATTATTTGAGTGTGAAAGAGATGGAGAGAAGGGGCTTTTATGGGAATGATAAATAGCAAAATCAGATTAGAGGTTACTTTAGGAGAGAACAAAAAAGGAAGGAGATAAGGGAGCAATATATGTAGTTCTTCAAGGCTTTCCATGGTTTATTTCTTTTTTAAAATTAATTAAGCTTATTGGTACATTTTAGATGTATATAATGATCACATTCATCATAGGACATTTGTATCTGTGCATGATGTATCTTGATTCTTTTTTCCCATTCCTGTATCCTCCCTTTAACCTCTTTCCCCCTACTTATTTTTAAAAAAATTTTACTGTAGTGTCTTTTTTTAAATTTAATGTAAAGAAAGACTAAACAAAACAGAAAACGGGTAGAAATAATACATAATTTCAAAGAAAAGAATAAACAGTAATAAATCACTAGTTGATGATTACACATTGTCTTCTTACAAATAGTTATTCAAGATGCTAAAGTGGAGCACATAAAGTGGGGATTCAAACAGTGACATTGCAACCAGTTCTGTTCAACTATCCAACAAAAACTTAGAAATGTGGTTATCAATCCTATACACTTAAACATACATGCAGTTATCCATCTCTTCAATTATGTTGAGAGTGAATAAACCCAAGCAGGCTAATATCACTCTGAACAAAGAATAATACTATTGCTGGGTTTCACATTATAACACTCCAGGATCAGCGCTGGGTACTTTAGTGTCTCTTTTTCTTCAAAGTATCTGTTCATTTTCATCATGTGTTGTAAGATCAGTTCTCATAAACTGTTTATAGATTCTACACATGTATGAGTCTTAACAGGTATTTCCTTTCTATATTAGAGAGAAAAGCAAAACAAAGCAAGGCTAAACAAAACATATCCCTATAAACACATTAAATGAAATAAACCTATAAGACCATTGTACAAAGAATTCTACCATAGTTCCTGTGTTGTCTCTTGTTATCTCCAATAGAATTGGCTATATCATCAGATGTAATATAATTGAATGTATCGGTACATAACAGTATTAATAAAAACACAACTTTGTATATAGTATAGAACTTCAGAAACTGGCAGTTATTAAACCAGAATGTGTATTGTAGAGTCTTGTCATCTTCAGTGTAGTTGCCTATACTCTCAGACTTGATACTATTAATCATATCAGTCTTGAATAAAATCTTCTTTGCCTCATTTCTGTTATGCTCTTTTTTTGCCATCAGTTGTCGATTATCTTCTTCATTCTGTTTTCTGCTCCATTCATTGAGGCCTCTCTCACTGTTCCTGGAATCTTAGTACTTTTCTCTCTCTCTAGAATGCCCTGCAGTATTCTCTGTAGTGTTCAATTGGCTGTTGCGAATTTCCCAAGTTCCTCTTTGTCTTGGAAGCATCTTGTTTCTCCATTAATTTCTAAAGACAGTTTAGCAGGGTATATCAATGTGGGCTGGAGGTTATTTTCTTTCAGGACTTGGAATATTTTGCTCCAGGCTCTTCTTGATTTCATGGTTTGTGTCAAGAAGTCTGCCATTATTCTGATGGTCTTTCATCTCTAACAACTTTTAATATTCTGTTCTTATATTGAATTTCTGGGATCTTGATTATCATATGCTTGGGTGTAGCTCTGTTTTGGTTGTAGGTGGCTGGAGTTCTGTATGCCTTATATATCAGAATATCATTTCCTTTTCCTATGTTTGGGAAGTTTTCCTTAATTATTTCTGTGAATAACCTTTGTAGTTCCTTTGTTTGTACCCCTGCTTCTTCATTCACATTCTTTATTCTCAAGTTACAGATCCTTTTGTCATCTTCTAGCCTTTGTATTGTTACTGCTTGTTTCCTTGTTATTTTTAAAAAGTTTTCCCTTTCATACTCCCACATTGCAAAATTGTCCTCCAGTTTGGATAGTCTATCCTTAGTTTCTTTCAAGCTGATTTGCCATCTTTCCATAGAGTTTTTAATTTCCTGGTGATCTCTTTGAATCTGCTTCATATAGATTTTTTTTATTTTCTTCATCAAATGGTTCTCTCCTTTGTTTGAGTTCCTCCTTTCTTCCATCTGTGTCTGCTTGAGGGGTGCTTAGTATCTCTTTTATTAATCTTCTTATATCTTGCTTTATTTGGCTAAATACTTCATTTTTTAACTCATCTATGAGGTCCCAAATATATCTCTTTATGTCCACTGGCGCTGTGTCTGATATTGTATGTTTGCTGTTCTCATTCTCCTTTGTATTTACCTGTCCTGGGTCAATGTTCTCAGGGTTGGGACCTGGGGACTTTTTGTTGTTGCTTCCTCTTCCCATCTTTTTTGCTTCTTCCAGGAGGCCCCAGTTTCTTTGTTTGTTGGTTACAATTCTTCTGAAGCACGCTGGCTAGATGACCGTTCCCACTGCAGTGTGCTAATGAGTTGCAGACAGGGACAGCATATGCTGGCCCCTCCCCTCGGGGTCAATCAAGCTGCTGTGGCCTGCACTGTATTACTTTGCGCTGCCTCCCCCCAAATCAGTCTGAGGCTTCACTGGGATAGTGTGGTTAGTGCATGCCACTGCTATAGGGACTTGATTTCAGATAACCTATTGGGTCTCAGCCAGGTCATCTGACCCAGGCCTAGCACACTCCACCAATCCCGTTTGGGAAGGAAACAATTGACTGAAGTCACTGCTGCCCCTTGGACTTGCCAGTCCTGACCGGTCCCAGAATGTCGTCCACCAGAGCCCCTCTTTCTATGGAATGGCTCCACTCCCATCACTCAATACAGCTCGATGTAGGCACCCTGCCAACTCAGTTCTCCATCGGCTCACGATCCCCGAACTCAGTGTAACTGCACCTCCAGTGAGTCGAAGCATCGGAACCTTGGATGGCTTGGCAAGTCGCAGTGGGATCTCAGCAAGTCACAGCAGGACCTCGGCAAGTCGCAGCGGGACCTCAGATGGTCAACAAATCGCCTGCTTAATTTCTTGGGACAAGAAAATTCATCTCCCTCTATTTGGGGCTCCGCACTCTGTATTATGTTGAATTCTAAGTTGACTATCTCAGGGAGCCTGTGTAGCCAATTGTTATCTATTCACCATCTTTGCTCCTCCCAGTTATTTAAAATATTAATCCCATGTTTTTCCTTCTTTTCTTGTTTTTCTTTTTTTTGTAACCTTCTTTCCTTCCCTCTGCCTCCTCCTTAGTTTCCCTTCCCATTTCAACATTTTCTCCTATTTCACAATGTCTATTATACATTTTGGGCCTCAATTACACTTTTGATTTCTAAAGCACCAGAGAAACGATGCAATATTTACATGTGTATTCAATTTAATTTACTTAAGAGTCTAACCTCAAAGTGCATCTATTTAACTATAAATGTCCCAAATTTACCCTTCTTTATGACAGAGTAGAACATCATTGCATTAAAAAACCACAAATTTACCTATTCATTGGTTGATGGACATTTGGGCTGTTTCCAAGATTTAGCTATTACAAACTGCTACAATAAAAATGGGTGCTCATGTATTTCTGTGGTA